CAGAGTAACAGTTGTCAAACTGTTAAGAACAGATACTACACTTGATCTAAGCCATATGGCCAGAAGAGTGGGGAAAGGAGAGAAAGAAAGATCAATGCGTCCTTCGGGAAGTATTTATACGTCTGATGTGCACGCAAACGTGACAGATTGTGCATGTGGAGGCGCCCTTTGACACAACCCTAATGTCTTGGACCACATCAACACACTGCATCACCGCGTCAGCCCCCTTTGCGCACAACCAACAGACAGCACAGATACATGTTGAGAGATATGGGCGACGCGTCCTTGGGCTCAGGCCGCGCAAGTAAGTATACAAAAAAATTGACAGGCGGGTCATGACCCTCCATCGGGGAGCGGAGCTCGCACGCGTCGCCGCCTCCTTATATGTATGTATACTACATGCACCTCCTCAAACGCTTGCTTGTTTGTACAAGAGCGAACACCGATGAATGAGAAAGCACATGTGAGGTGAACATCTCAGTAATAACGTTTCAGAGTCAATGATGGCATCGTATGGTCGGTCTCCAGCGAAAGGCGAAAGTTGCGAGCTGATTGACTCTAATCCGAAACCAGGTTGGTAAGACAAGGGACCAGCATCTTTGGCCTCTGGCAGGTGCGTAACTTGTACTTTTCGCAGTGGAATTCGGAGAGATGGTGACAAACATCAACGAAAGGAACACCTGACCGCTGCAATGCGAGTGTTATGTATGTTGTTGTGGATGCAGCTGTCAGTGGAATCAATGGCTATTCAGGCATACTGGCATGGATAGAGAGGGGAGGGAACCAAGAGCGCGTGGCGCTTGCACTTACGTACGCACGCCGTCGGTGATTTCGAGTTTGTAACGTAGCTACGGGCGAAGGGAGGCAGCAAATCTTTTGCAGATTACATACCGGATTGCCCACGTCGATAGCTTCACCATCAATCACCGCCTGCCGAGCAGAACCCACAGTTTCTGAAAAACTGCATCCTATATGTGCCTTGCTCCTTGGAGCACGCGACGCCAGCCTTGGCAAAGGGATTGTAGCAATCACCGCTCTGTGCTGTTCAATGCTACTTGCGTGCCGTCCCCACTCGCCAGCCGGCGAGACAGGGCGGCGCGGTCGCCGAACGCCAGGTCCCTGCTGTGCATGGTCAGCACATCGGACGAGGATCGCAGCCACAGAGCAGCCCGCCGCACGACCAGATGGTGTCCAAGCCAGTTGCCACCTCTTCAGCGATTCCTCCACAGTGAGCATAGTGCATACATCGGTCCGACAGGCTTTGCCCGTCCCCGCATGCCCCATTGTGCGGTACTGGCACATGTCTCGAAATGGAATCAGGGCTGAATGCCGAGTGAACTGTTTTTACCATGTGCAATGCCGAGCCTTGTGTGCGTCTTTATTTGCGCCTCGAGACTTTCGTCAGGAACGGATGAGGGAAGAATTCGACGAGCATGTCTCGCCAGCTACGTTCATGCAGTTACAGTTTGTACAACAAGTTGTGATACACGACGCGCACCTTATCCTCACAGTCGACAGTCGCTGTAGACGCCACATGTATGTAAGTATTACACACAGCACCTATGCCTCTTCCGTCCCCTGCCGCCACCCAGCGCACCACATCGACATTTGGACCACGGACGGCTTGGCAGGCCGAAGGGGGTCTCGACAGGCCCCGACTCTGGCTGGAATGTGTGCGGATGTGGCGCAATCGCCTGCGCCCCGTGCAGAAAGAGACAGAGACAAAGGATAAATGTCGCCAGTCCTTTCGGTGAAACACGTTCATCACAATGGCTCCACGCCAAAATTTGGCGCAAATGTGAATAATGCTAGAGAGAACTTTGTTTGGGCCAGCTCGGGACTCGGAACTGGCAGACTGTACTGTTGTTTACACGGTTCCAACAGGAGATTGACCGAAGATAAGGGTTTCACTGTGTCCCCACTTGCTGCGACACTGTCGTCATTAAGCCAGGCCGCCGCTGCTGCGCTCTGGGACGTCTCTCGGCTGACCTCTACGGTGGTTACAGGAGAAGCTAAATGAAAATAGCGGCGCAGCATAGCTCTTAACCCATGGCTGCCCTGCGCAAGAGGCAGCATCTCGCCTTTCGCACATCGATACTCTGCAAGGCGCACTTTCTCTCACGTTGGTCATTGTGGCGGTGAGGTGGCATCTTATCGAACGTAGGGCCTGGGGCATCGTCAGCTTGAAACTCCACAGTCATCATCTCAGACCTTCGCAGAGCCTGTGGGCCAGTCGCACTTGCTGTCGTGCCGGGTCCGTCCGCTCTATACGATAGCCAGTACCTATAGGAGGTGCCACCGTGCCATCGGCCAACTGGGAAAGCATGGATTATGTACCAAACATTCCGAGAACAAATGCACGTATATCATCAGCCTCATGTGTTGTTTCTCCTATGAAGCGCGAAGGGTATAGTTGGAGAAATACAATGACGCTATGGCGCTCCACGAGTATTCGAGCCCCTGTCTCGAACCCGTCTCGCATGCCCTCACATGGCCGAATGGTACGAAGTATAAGATGTACTTCAACCCCTTGCGAAAATTTGATGATGAGCTAGTGGTGACTTCACCGAGGCGCCGAAAGCCCCGATCGCACTTCTGTGCAATCCGCGCTGTCTCAGCACACTCTGCCTCATCATCATCACACGATGAAAGCAACATGGTGACCATGCGCGCTTTTCGCCCTTCGAGACAAACGGCACGGCATATACACACCCTTCAGAATCCAGAGTCAAACAGGCACAGCCACAGCCACAGGCACAGAGAGAGGTGATCGGCGAATCGCTTGGCGAAAATCAAAAATTCTCGAATATATCTTACACAGATCTACTCAAGGATATGCTGATAGCTGGGGCTCTGCTCTCCCATCTTGTCTACGAGAGCTTGTTGGAGTTTCGCACGCTCGCAAGCATCGGTGATCTCACCTCGCAAAGCCATTTCCCATACATCCGAATGCCGATCGGAACATCGTCGCTGCTGTGCGAAGGGAAAAGAGCAAAGCTGGCGGCGCCAGCTTTGCCGGCCGCGGACAGAGCGAGGACCGAACAGCCAAGTGGAACGCGTGTTACTTTTGCGACGCTGCACTTCTAAACAACTGGCACGCGTACAGGCGCACTGAGACGCGTTACGATCTCCCTCGACCCAGAAAGGTCTGGCTGGCTTCTCGTAGCTGGAAGGAGTCAGCAAGGAGGGCACGAACTCCTGCCGTTTGTTTGTTCCTTTGGTCTGCGCTGCGAAACGACAAAGTAAACTGCGTTGTTTGACCTTTCTGGGTCTGAGAATTGCGTCAGGCTGGCGGCTACTTTACCCTCTGGCGGGGTCGTGTTTCTTCTCTCGACTAAATATCCTTTTTCACTTTCTCTCCTTCTGTACAGTACATGCACCTGTGCTGCTGGGTGCCTTGCCGATCATACGCGGTCGAATAGCTTGCTGTGCGTGCTGTCTATGTCATCATGGGTCGCGATGATGCATGTCATCGCCCGTCGTGTGGTGCACGCAATATCTCCGCGCCATGCGTTCTACGCTCTAAACGTATGCATTCCCAAATTCTGCTTCTACGTTGCGTTCAGGAGCGAGGACCCGACGTCGATATGCTGCTGTTGATGATGAGGACGAGCAGGTTGCGGAGACGAGACGAACTGCCTGCTACTACAACGACGCGTCCAACTCCAAAAAGAAGTTCCTTGTTTCTTTTTTCTTTTTTTTAGTGTCGACCTGGAGTTATGAAAATAAAGAATGTTGACTGGCGTAGTGGCCTGGGGGCCACACCAAGCGCACACCAGCCTACAGCCCACCATGAGCGGGTAACGACGAGAATTGAGATGGTCCTTTCTTTACAAGCAAGGTCGAACGCCAGGGAGAGGTTCCTGCGAGTGCGAATGCTTGCAAGACGCACACATCCATACACCTAGCCATTTAAAACGAGGCCCCAGTCGCAGGCGATTGGTGTCGCAGCGGGAAGTCCAAGGCGAGAATCACGGCTGGAGACCGACTGGTCCAAGCGGCTCGCTTGTCTTTCTCCCCTTCAAGGTGTCTCAAGCCCTGCTCTCACTTCCAAAGGAACCCCGTTGCATTCTCCCCGATTCCATTCCGTCCGATGAAAGAATCTGATCAAGTACACAGTAGGAGCAGCCTCTACACACCTGCACAAGCTGTGACCGCCAGCGTTGCGTGACACCTCTGCCTCTGCATCTCCGATCCTCTGCCCACTTTGGTTGCTTAACGCGAATGCACACTTGTTAGAAATGCGTCACAACATCCGCCCAGCTTCTTCTGCTGCCGCCTACTAAGTCCATCGCAAGGATGGCAATCCCGTCTCCGCACAACATTCATACCGGCATCAGCAGAACAGCGCCACCTCCGCAGCCGCGGCCTCCGTCCGGCATCTCGGCAACCGTATCCATGACCTCGTCCCCCGCGCTCTCCTCACTGCCAACGAGCTCTATATCGTTTGGCTCTCCGCTCTCCTCCGCGCTAGACAAAGCGTACAGCAACAACGTTGCTCACTACACTACTGCACCTCGCAGAGGCGACAATCGCCCGCTCCCTGTTCCCCTCGTCTGCAGAGGCTCTGAGGACCCTGCGACCTCGTCCTCTAGAAGCAACAGAGACAGAGACGGCAATAGAGACAGCGGTATCGTGCTTCCGCGTGCAGCACCACTAATCTTGAACGGCTCGACGCACCGTGATCACCACCCGCATCGGGTCGGGAGCGACGGCGCCATCGCTCCGTCCCTCATCATACCCTCCACCCGTGCGGACAGCGACAGCGCAGCCAGGATGCCCACAGGTCATGCTTCGCTCGACAAGCTCTCCGCTTCGACCGACGCATCGTGCAGCAGTGGCAGCAGCAGCAACGACCACTCGGCGTGCGGCAGCCTTGGCTGCTCAGCCGAGGTACTTCCTCACCAGCAGCAACAGCAGGCCGTCAACGAGCGCAAGCGCGAGCTGGAGGACGAAGAAGTAGAAAAAGAAGAAGAAGAAGAGCTCGAGGCCGAGAGCGGGGACCAGGTCGGCAACCTCAGGTCGCGCAGCAGCCTCGAGGCCGGTGGAAGCGGCAGCGGGTCGGAGCGCAAGCCCGGGAGCATGAAGCATGTCAAGGGCAACAGCAAGGACAGCAGTCGGCGTGCATCGTCGTCGTCATCGTCATCGTCGTCGCGATCACCCGCCAAGCCGAACGAATCCTCTCCATCTTCCTCTATAGCCACCGGCAACAGCTTCGGTGCTGCCGGTTCCAGCGGCGTCAGGAGCGAGGGTACGATACTCTGTGGCACCGGCGAAGCGGCCGGTACCGGCGGCATTGAAAGCAGTCCTACCGGCTCACCTCGCGGCATTGGTGGGCCACGCAGGCTGCGCTCCTCCTCCTCTACGCACTCCAGCTCCGTTGGCAGCGTTACTGGTATCCTCGGCCAGTCGCCCTCGTCGGCCGCTTCATCGGCATCACCCGGCGTCGGAGTTGTCGCGGGCGGCAAGCCGCGCAGGAAGTTTGCACCGTCTATCCCACAGCGTCGCGTCTCTGCGCCGCTCGAGCTGCTCACAAACGGTGGTGGTGCTGCAGGCGGGAATGGCGTGGGTTTCGGTGCGAGCGGGTCAAACGGCACCGCGCTGAATGGATCAAGCCACGGAGTCGTGCCCGTCGCGAGCGCGCAGAGCATCCTCCATGCCGTCGCCGCGTTCCGAGAGTCACAGCAACAGCTACAGCAGCAACGCGAGTCGTACATGCCCAGCGGCAATAGTGCAGCAGCTGCCACGACGACCGGTCTCGGCATCAGCGGCTCCGGTGCGTCTCCTGTGATACCCCCTTCCTATGCCTCTGCTGCGCGATCAACCAAAGCTGGCCCTGGCGCCGGTGAGAGCAACATGACGCCTATCGCCGCTCGGTTCGCCAGTTCTGCCTGGAGGGACACCGGTGGGACGCTGCCAAGCGTCAGCACTGCGATCAGCGTCCCTGCGACCGACAGCACCGGCAGCATCTATAGCACGGCCAGCGCTACGCTTTCCGCATCGCACTCGCTCGCGTTCGGACACGGGCTCAGCAATGGCAAGCTCCCCAGTGCCCCGTCGAACAGCGCGGCTATCCCTGCAACGGCCGCGCTGGTGCGAGCTGGCGAAGAGGCAGACGCCGCGCGCGCCCGCAATAGGAGCGAGCCCAAGCCGCCGACCGCGAGTAGCAAGAGCAAGGGTAAAGGCAAAGCCGGTGGCAGCAGCGAGGGCAGCGCGCATCACAAGGCGCTGCTGCGCGGCTCGACGGGGACGAGCGAGTCGCTGCATTCCTCCGAACATGAGGAGCAGCAGATCATGTCGCTGTCCGATCTGATCGATTTCAGTGGCGCCGCCGAACCCCTCAACAACGACGACCAGCGTAAAGACCCGTACGCGCTGCTCGCGCGCGAAGGCAGTGTCGAGTACCTTCGCGATCTCGACCCCGCGCACCAGGCGCACGTCGCTAGCGTCGGGGACGCGCCTGCCGGGGTCGGAGGAACCGGAGCCGCAAAAGCAGGAGTAGGAGGAGGGGTGGTCAATGCGTCGCGCAGGGCCTCGAACAGCTCCATGCGCACCGTCTCTGACTACGGCGACGAGGAGGCGCAGCTCATGACGGCCACCAAGGTCGAACGCAGCTCAGCGATCACGTCGCCAGTCATACCGAGCCTGCTGCGCAAGAGCAACATCGTGCATGGCAAGCGAGCGACACGCCACTCGTCTTCGCAGCATGCAGGCAACAAGGACGGCGTCGAGTCGAGCCCATCCGCCTCGTCCCCCGGCAGCATCACGCCCAGCACGTCCGCGCAGTCGTTTGCGACCGCCTCGCCTGGCTTCGACTCGCCGGCCACAGGGACTGTCGCCAACGCTGCCGGCACGCCGGCCGTACCGAGCAGCCCTGACTCGGGGCGCTTCGGTCTGTCGCGCGGGTTTTCCGGCGCTCGAACGCCCACAACTTCCTGCGGCAAGCAGCGCAAGAGCCCGCCTGTGCCGCTGCGCCTGCGCGACGCCAACACGGACGCCTTTCAGCACTCCGCATCAAACCAAGTGTCGTCTGCTGCTGCTGCGCTGACCGAACGCCTGCGCTCCCCTGTGGCGAGCCCGACCGCGACGTCGAGTCCGATGCAGCCTTTGCCACTAACAGGGCCGCCAAGCGAGCCTTTACCGCCGGTTCCCTCGACACCGAGTAGCACACACATGGCGGCCGGCCTACTCTGCAAGAACAGCGCTGGCGCCGTTGTTGAGAAGGAAGCGGCCAACAGTCCGAGGGTAGTGATACAGCCGGAAACGCCGCCTTCCTCTGGTGCCAACTCGGCTATCGCCTTGCCGGAGCGCTCGAGCAACCTGAAATTGGCGGGCCCGTATCTTTCTGGGAATGCTACCACTTCTTCTGCATCTGTCCCAACCTCGGTTCCTAGGTCAAGGTCTGCCACAGTTCCTGCTCCCACACCTGCTGCAGTCACTGCGCCAACTCCGACGAACTTTGCTACGTCGACGCCATCGGCTCCTGCCTTCGCGTCAACGAGGCTGCAAGGTCAGACTTCCCTCTCCTCAGCAACAGGCATAGAAGTCCTGCGCCTTCCTTCTCCCTCAGAGCAAGGCAGATCGTCTGGCAGGACGCGCACGCGAAGCAATGGTAGCCTTGAGATGGGTGGCGTTAGAGTCCTCATGCTGCCTTCGCCGCGTCAGTCCTCTCGTCCGTCATCGAGTCCGTTGGTCACAAAGGCCACTGCGCTCTCGACATCGTCTTCGCCGTCCTCCTTCGCCGGCGATGCTGGCAAGTCGCCGAGGGGTTTCCCACGTAGTGTTGGTGACGAGGTTGATGCGGCCGGCGCTGCCCCGGAATCCAGCGACAGTGGCTATGGGCTTCGCGCTCGAACCAACAGCCAGGTGAGCAATTTCAGCATGCTCACTAGACGCGAAAGTGTACCTGTCACCAGCCGGCGAGCTGAGATGGAGGAAGACAGGGTCAGCGCGAACAGATCAGACGTCTTGAAGCGCGCCGAGTCTCGCTTTACGGGTGCTTTCGGAGGTGCGTGAGCGTTGTGGCGTTTTCATCATGTCTTCCCTTGCAGGCTGACATTGCACCGTTCTGTCTGTTAGAAATCGCTGACGCGTTTAAGGTCATGGTCGCTGAGAAGAAGATGCTGGAGCAATTTGTCAAATCTTCGGAGCTTGGAGGGAGCCACTCGGGGGGACATGGCGAAGAGAATGCAGTAGAGCCGATGCGACGCCAGGTCGCGTCGTTGACTGCCAAGCTGGAAACAAGCTCGGTGGAGATTAAGCAGCTCCTCGAGCTCCTAGACCAACAGTCGGCGACCATCACCCTCATGGCAGAGACCCATCAGAAGGAGCTGCGTCTGGGCGCCGAGGAGGTCGACGAGCTGGGGAATGAGCTGGAGCAGGTATCCCAAGAAGCCAAGATCCACCGAGCGAATGCCATCAAGCTCACGCAGCAGCTGGAAGAAGCTCTAACCGAAGGCGTTTCGCTCCGAGCGGAGTGCTTGAAGCACAAGACAGAGTCCAGCGAAAGGCTGCAGCAGCTGCAGCAGCTGAGATCAGCGCACGAGCGGCTTCAAAAAGACCTCACGCAAGCGCGCGCAATTCAAACCGAGGCCATTGGTGTGCACGAAGGCAAAGCAAAGGAGCTACAGGCAAAGATCGAGCAGGCTGACTCGGACCGCTCAGCGCTGGAGGCAGCGCGGATAGAGCTGATGAAACAGATCGATGGCGCGCAGTCTGAGAGCGGCAAGCAAGCGCAGAAGGCTGCAGCTGCCGAAGCCGAACTGAAGCGCGTGACTCTGCGGCTCCAAGAAGAGCTGCAGAGCGTGCGAGATGGGTACGAAGCTCGCATGAGTGATACGACCGCTCTGTATTCCTCTGAGGTGGCCGATCTACAGGCGGCGCTGCAGGCTGCTGGAGGTGAGACAGGACAGCATGTTGCGATCCAGAACCGACTGCACTCTCTTGTATCGGAGCACCAGGTTGCGTTGGCTTCCCACCGAGCTCAAGCAGACAAGGTCAGGTCCGAGCTGCGCGCAGCGCATGCCCGGGAGCTTGAGGCCTTGGAGAGTAGGGCTCTCGCACACAAGGCGGAAGCGGATGCATCATATTCCAAGGTCAAGATGTTGGCCGACGAGTCTGCGGTACGTGACTTGCAGATCGAGACTTTGCAAACTCAGTTGGCGCGGATGGTCGAAGAGCTCGCTGCAAAGGACAATGAACTGGTCGCTGCCAAGTTGCGCGGTAATGCCTTGCAAGAAGAGCTGCTTCAAAGGCCAAAATCTGCCGGTGGGAATTCGACTCACTCTATCCCCGAGAGCTTTGTCGACGACCAAAAGACGGAGCTCTCTGATCTGCAAAAGGCGCAGAGTGCGCACCAACTAATACAAGCCAATTCGCAACGGGTTTTCGACTCGCAACAGATGGAGATCAAGAAGCTACAGACAGAAATACAGACGCTTCGCAGCGAACATCTCTTGGCTCTGGGTGCTGTGGACAAGGCGCGCGCTAGGGCAGACCACGCCGAGCAGGAACAGAGCTCGCTGAAGGAGGAGCTTGCTGAAATGCAGGCCAAGTTGGCTTCTTTCATGTCGAGTACGAAGATGGTGAGTCAATGCTGCGGGGGCCCGGGATCCGATCGCAGCGCCGCTGACCCTGTAATCATTCTGCGTTCAGCCCGAAGACGGCCATGAGTCTGCGGATTCGCTGCGCAGCCAACTAGCTGATCAGCGCGCCCGAGAGACGACGATCCTGACTGCATACAAACAGCTGCGAGATGAACTGCGCAAGATGCAAGCCGTGCAGTCGAAAGAGAAGCGGTCAGGCTTCCTTGTCCGACCGGGCACGTCCTCAGCCCAGGAGGACGGCAGCAGCAAGTCACCGCGTCAGCTCAAGCGGCTGTCGTTGCCTGTCCAGGATCTCGGTAGCATTCCACGCATGTTCGCTGACAGCGCAGGCACGCCGAACCGACCGAAAAGCGCAACCTCGCATCCGCCTCCGTCCATGCGGCACCTCTCGCTGACGTCGAGCCAGGTTGACAGCATCCGCGCCGCTTGCGAACGAGGCCCTGATGACGACGAGAGCGAGATTGTGCTCAGTCCGCAAGTCGCGACACACCACGAACGCGAGTCCACCGACGCCTGTAGCTTCCGACAGCAGATGGTGCCTTGAGACGCTACGGCGCGTTCTTCCATCGATTGTTATTTTCTTCTCTTCTATTCAGATACAGCAGGCTAAGCTGTGTGTAGCGTACAGCTTATGCTCGGACTTGTACTTGCGAACTTCCATACCCCCACCGCCCAGCGGGGCAAAAATGATTATACATGCGTTGCGTTCACTTGCAAAGAAGCAAAGTTTCTGCAAGAAAGACTGTTGTACAACACGAAGCGGACGCGCACACATCGAAAGACACAGAGTGCTCTACGCCACAGCTTTCCAAAGCTGGTCGGCGAGTGCGATGGGCGAGAGGTCCTGCGCGGCGAGATATTCCTGGCTGACGTTCATGAGCAGCGACGTTTGTCGTTTCTTTGAGATTACCGTTAGCTCCTCGAATGGCGCCCCGCCCGGTGCCAGCGTGGCACTCTTGCTCGAATCATACAGCGGCATGAAGCCGATTGAGCGCAAGATCTTGAGCATGATCCTGGTGCCATAGAGAGGAAGAAAGAGCAACAATTGTCAGCAATACATGCTGGACGGCATGCTTTATGGCAGCGGACTCACGCATCGCCATCTACATCCATGCCTTCAGCCGGATCCTCAGCATCCATCGCTTCGATGCGCTCCTCCTCTGCCACTTTACTGTGCTCGAGCCTCTCGATGGCGACCTGCAGCTCGGCGTTGGCCTTGGCCAGCGCGAACTTTTCCGTGTTGAGGCGCTCCATCTCGGCTGCGTGCACACGCTCGGTGCGCCAGTCTGCGATGCCGCGCTCGGACTGCGAGGCAATGAGGGAGAGCTGCCGCTTAAGGTCTGGTGACGGAGCGGAGCAAGGCGAGACGTGACGTGACGCGCGGTCAGCCCCCCGAGCCTCAAGTTCACCGCCATCCTCGATGGATCAGACATCTCGCCCGGTACGCACCTTCGAGTTCCTTCCTGATCCCACTCCGCTCGATCTTTCGCTTCTCTTCTATCGTCCTCTTGAGGCGCTTGATCTCTCGGATCTCGTCCAGCTCCTTTGTGTCCTTCATTAGCGCCTTGATCTCTGGGATCATCGCCCTGCGCGGGCGCCAAAACAGACAGATGGAGCGAGTTGGTTAGTCACTGATCTGACCTGACCTGTGAGGAGATGCAAAAGGCTGCTGCTGCTGTTGCCTGCCACACTCACATGACATCCTCGGGCTCTTGCAGGCCGCTCAGCGCGAGCCCTTGATCCTGCACCTCGCCTAGCGGGAGCGTGCTGTCTCTCATCTTGTTGATCGGCGGTGGGCGTTGGCTCTCACTTATCATCAATATGTGCGGCTGCATCAATATGCTCGTCCCCTTTGCGCTACTCTGAGCTGAGCATGAGACTGCCCAGGATGGGGAGAGGATTGGAGCAAGTCAAAAAGTAGCGGGTGGTGTTGCTCTAGGCGCGAAAAGGATGTTCGCGTTGCGTTGTGGAGCGACATCACGCGTCTAGGTCACGTGACCAACTACACGCGCATCTGTGCTTTCTAGCCCACAGCATCGCACTATAGCAGCGACGAGATGCAAATGGGTTAACCGGCGACACCTCGGCTTCTTCAGTAACATGGAGATGAGGAGCACGCTGCATACATTGTATACATTGCAACAAGCATCACCTTGCCGTGAGGAATGTGCAGTGCAGTGCGCCATTGCGACTCTATCGTTCACAGCAACGGGGGTCTAATAGATGCAGTGTTGATCCGCTAGCCTACGCATTCGTCATCTTCCTTGTCTCCAGCGCCAAGGAGCGATCTGTGACTGGGTTGCGACTGAAAGAGAGAGACGCGAGAGAATGGTGCCCGTCCACCCGCGGATGGCGCAGGCCTTGACCATGCCGCTCTATCTTCAGCCACTCATGCCGACCGGCTTGCAGGCGGTCGACCTCGAGTTTATCTTCGGCCTGCATGTGGTGAATTACCATCGGTATTTGGCTATTAGCGTGTGCATTCGTTGACTTGGTCTTGCACACAAATTCGCGATGCGATTAACAGGTCCTGTCCATGGTCGCCGTCACATCTATGATACATCCACGCTACACACTCTCGCTCGCCATCCTAGGCTTGATCGTGACGTCTGAGCCACTCCTGCCTTCCAACAACAGCCGCGGCGCGTCGCTCCTGGTGGTCTTCACGCTGATCTGGTTCCTCTCCGTCCCGCTCGACATCTTCTGGTTCTTGAGCTACAGATATGCGACGGACAGCATCGCTGTATTTACGCTCTGCGCTAACATGTGCTTCAAGGTTGTCAGCTTGGTCTCCTGCTCCAGCCTGCTTGTCCAACTCGGACTCGTCGACGAATCTACAGCAGCAGGTACAAGTACAGGAGCGGGCGACAGGGGCGATAGCGGTCTGTCGTCCAGCTCGCACCCTCAAGTCTGGAACCGCTCTGCCGGAAGCAGCAGCGGCGGCGTCGGTAACTCTTTCGGCAGGTCCGCCGAGCAAGCAAGAGACGGGCCGCCAACAGGGAACATCCCTGGCGGATACAGAGACGACGACGCACAAGCACAAGAGGAATCTGTCGTGTTTGTTGGCGAGGAGGATGCAATACCAGTCTCCTCGACTACCACGCTGTTCGACAGCACTGCAGCTGGTGGTCCAACGCCTCCGTCGTTGGCGAACAGCGCTCCCAAGCAGTCGCAACAACACCCTGCAGGATACCACACGCTTGAGTAAAATATCTTCTGTAGCGCACGCTATCATCCAATACTCCATGGACAAATATCTCAATCTTCTATGGACGATACGTCTAGAATCCCAAGCGCCAAGTGGAAAGCAATGGGAAACTTTTGATTAGGACAGACGTGAAATTGCTGCTGCATGATCGAACATTATGTTATGCGTACAAGTTGGAATACCGGCCGATGCAAGGAGGGTCTGCAAGTTGACAAAGGGAGCAAGGTATAAAGGAGCTAGCGTCACGTTTGAGGTAAAGAGAATTCCAGCACAACCCGGTCGATACGAGATACATGCGAGAGCGAGAGGGGAAGGACGGAGGAAGAGAGAAGCACAGGCGCGCACGCGTTACGAGTCCATTTTACTGTCCTGTTGCAGTATGTTCGCACCTGCCGCAAATTCCGCAAAGGACGGCAGCGTTGGCACCGACGAGACAGCCTGATTGCCTAGATATGTCGTCGGGAGCTGATTGAGCGATCGCAGCAGCTCGTATGCACTGCCGCCCGCGCGGTCGGCGCGCGGGTAGTGCAGCGGGCCTTTCAGCTCCTGCACCTCGAGCTGCGGCGCAAGGCGCGAGGGTGGCGAGTTGAGCTGCGACTGATGCGGAGCGTAGCCCGGATGCTGTGGCGCGGGCGGGCCCAGCGGCTGCGTCTGCGAAGAAGGGTGTTGGTGCCCGAGCAGTTCGTACGATTGAGGTGATGGCGGGATGTCATTCTGCGAAAGTCCGCGCTTGGGTAGGACGGACCGATGCATAGTGATCATCTCGCTGGACGTTGTGCGGTAATCGGGACCTCGCGCAAATCCATATGGATTGTGCGAGGGCGACGCAACGAGGACTCCAGAAGTGACAGGCCCATTTGATGCTGGCCTTCCCGACGGCACGCCGCCACCACCGCCCCCGCAATACGGGTGGTAGCGACCGGCGATCACAGAGTGGTGCAAGGGCGAAGCAGATCCAGCACGGATCGATCCGTTACCGCGACTCTGCCGCCCCGTGCCGAGACGCGCAGGCGCATGCTGCGACGCCGAGTTGTTGTCGCGCGGGAACATGCTGCGCATATCAGCGATGAGATCTTGATCAAGCGAATGCACAGACCTCGCTGCGTCAGACTGCGTGCTGCCGCCGGTCGTGCCGCGCACCCTGCGGTCCATAATGCCAGGCTGTGAGCCATGTGAGACGGCCGAGTTGCCGCGCTGTATGCGCGAGGGGTACTGTCGTCGGTGCGGACCGGGGTCGCTGTCGTTGGACCGGTGCGTGATGCACGACCCGGCCGTGTCTTGCCGGCGGCGCCGCTCCTGCTCTCGCTCCCACCGCTCGTAACCCGCCAGCTCGTTTGGCTCAAATGTGTGATGGTCGGCGTAAGGGAAGGGGGCCGTATCTGCAGCGCGTGGATTGTGCTGAAGGTCCCCTACCGTCGCGATGCTGCCAGCAAGCGACTGGCGGGACTCGGAACCACCACCGCCGCCGATGCTTCCCGCTCCTTCAGACAGCGAGCCATTGACAAGGGCGTCCATGAAGCCCGAGCCGAGCTTGCTGGGGTCCAGCTGCTCGCCTGTCGTCCACTGTACGTGGCGCTTCGAGACGACGCCCCTTGCGCGTCCTCTTGCGACATTCTCGCCGGGCCCACCGACGCGCGCGCTAAGGCTCTCGTCAAGCACTTCATACAGTGACTCGTTGTCCTCCCCATCCGAGTAGACTTGCGAGTCCATCGCGCTCGGATAGCCTTTGCCGCGTCCATAAGGACTGCTGCCTGGATCTCTGGCTTGCATGGACGGGACGAGCGAAGCAACGGATGGGTGCTGCTGATAAGGATGTTGTTGCTGTTGCTGTTGCTGCTGCTGCTGGGGTATCCGTATCGATGCATCCGAGGCAGCCAGTTCGTCCGCCTTTCTGTCCTTGAAGACGCGCGAGACCCACTTGCCCATCTTGCGGCGCCTACGGTCGGCCGAATCGAACGTCTCATTGCTGCCATAGTTGTTGCCCTTCTGCTCAATGTGTTCGCTGCTCGAGGTGCCAAGGAAAGCGCTGCCGATGGTGCTCGCGCTCGCATGCAGGCTAGCCCAGAGGCCAACTTGGCTGTGCGAGGGCGAAATGCCACCGCCGCCGCTGGTAGCAGCAGACGCAGACCCCCCGGCGTGCTGGGCCGGCAAAGGCAAGTCGACGTCATACACGGTGCGCTGGTCGGCGGCGTGCTGCTGTACATCGAGCAGCGTCCCGTTGGCGTGCATCGGCGGGACACGCACCGGCGCATCATCGCCGAGCTGCATGGGTAAACCGGGCTGCTCGAGCGCTTGTGCAGACCCCAAGGGCGGCGCGCACGACAGCAGTTGTGAGCCGGTTGCATCCATCTTCGCACCGCCAGCCTGTACGTGCAGCTGTTCCTGCGCGGAAGGGTAGAAGGGTGCGTGGTGCGGCTGCGCAACATGCATGGTCTCATCGGTATCCTGTTGCTGCCGCTGCGGCAGCAAACCGCCGGCCGTCTGGCTGGCGGCGAGGTCGGGGCTGGTGGAACCGAACTTGGGCTTGCGCTCGTCATGCGAGTAGGCGTGGCTGGGCGGGAGCGCGCGCGGGGGCTCGGCAGCGGCACGGTAGGATTGTTTGATCGACTCGTCGTCGATCTTAGCGAGGTTGGGCACGACGTGGCCGAGCGCCTGGGCCGCCTGGATCTTGTCCTTGGGAATGATCGAGCGCGACGCGATCGGGCGGAGCGACTTGGCGTCGCGCTCAAAGTACGGGTGCTCCATGAGGCCCGCGGTGGTGAGGCGCGATTTGGGCTCGTACTGGAGCAGAGAGCTGATGCAATCGATTAGGCTCATCGGAGTCCTGCTGCCGAAAAGCTTGGCCAAGCGCACCGGCTTGCACTGCGGCCACTGGAAGCCAACCGCGCTGGCCATCTTGAACCCGCGCGGCCAAGGGCCGCCCCCCATTCTCTTGCCGCGGTCGTCGCTGGGCCAGTCGTCGCTGGGGGTGCCCATGATCTCGCAGATGGCCAGCACCTGTGTCACCTCGCTCGAGCCGGGGAAGAGCGGACGCAGGTTGATGATCTCGGCCATGATCGTACCGACAGCCCAGATGTCGACTGGGTTGCTGTAGTCGCGCGCGCGCAGCAGCACCTCTGGCGCGCGGTACCAGCGCGTGGACACGTACTCGGTGAATGGGGGGATGCTGCTTGTCTCGCGCGCCAGGCCAAAGTCCGCGATCTTGACGATGACGAGCACATCGCGCTCGATGATATCTGTCCGCCCAGGGCATGGGTATTCAGACAGGCCGAGCGTGGTGAGCAGCAGGTTCTCCGGCTTGAGGTCGCGGTGAAAGTAACCGTGCGTGTGGATGTGGTGCAGGCCCTCGACGATCTGCCGGAAGATGGTCGCGATGAGGCCCTGTGCCAGCGGACGGCCCTTGCGCGACTTGGTCAGCTGGTACAGGTTGCCCTCCATGCACTCGAAAACGAAGTGCAGTTCGTGGGTCGTGGGTAGCAGGAAGGCGTCGTACAGCGGAATGATGTGCGGATGCGGCGGGATGGCGAGGAGAGACTGCGAAAAAATGAGCAAGTGTCAGCGCGTCCTGTTTGAAAAGGGCCTGGCTGTATGCGGGCGATCCCTTCGTCCTGCAACGAAACAGTCGCTCACCTTGAGCTCTTTGAGGGTCAAGCACTCCGCCCAGTTGCGATACTGCTTCTTCATCTTCTTGATCGCCACGAGCCTGCTGCCGGAGAACTCGGGGCGCGTGCTGGGGTGCTGCATCAGGCTGAGGTCCGTGCCGCTCGGCAGGGGCGAGCGCCAGTCGGCGAGAAAGACGGTGCCGAACGAGCCGTCGCCGACATCACGGATGATGCGGAAGTCCCGCGGTCCCTCCTTGAGGAGGTCCGCTGCCGTTTTTGGAAGTGCCGCCGATGTGCTCGCGCCGGCCTTTTGTGCGCTCCCTCCAGACCCCAGTACCACGGCTGCTGAGGATGATGATGACGACGATGCTGCTGCTGTTGCGAATGTATCGGATCCATTCCCATTTATGCCTGCATGCTCCGCCATGCCGGCTACGGCGCCTTTCCCATCTCCTGCAGAGGCACCGTTGACGACGTTTGACGGCGCTGCATACCCCTGCGCCGGTATGGCGAGCTGGGGTTCCAGCGCGACACTCGTGGCGTACATGTTTGCGGCGGAGACGACGGATGAGCCGTGCGACGCGTGAGCCCCATGCTGCGACGGCGCGGCGCCGGACGCCGAGTGAAACGCGTAGCCCGTGCTGGCTAGCAGGTCGTTGATCGTCGCGCGCGTGTTGGATGACGGGGCTGTGGATGATGCGGTCGTCGACGCGGACGGAGTATCGGCTGTATCGGAAGCGAGCAGGCGAGAGGACGTCGCAGTGGAGGTGGAGGAGGACGCTGCTACTACTGCTGATGTTAAGGAGGAGGAGGACGCCACCGCCAGACTCGCGTCGTTGCTTGGGCCTGGCGCCCCATTCATGTATGCATCCTGCGGATGTTGCTGTTGAGGTTTCTGTTGCTGTTGCTGTTTCTGTTGATGGTGGTAGTGGTAGTGGGAGTACATATGCGCTCGCTTCTCCTGCTGCTGTTGATTGAAGGCATACTGCTGCCGCTGGTTGGGTTGAGAAGATGACGCTGCAGGGGAAGGAAAGGCAGGCATGCCGGCAGTGGCGCTGCTCGAGCTGGACAAGGCCCTGCGAGGGGGCCGTCCTAGTTCCCCTTGGTAGATCCGTTAGAGGTGACGTTCGGCCATGTCTTGCCTTCAGCTCCGCTCCCTGTGGTTTGCAATCTCCCTTCCCGCTGCTTGCTGGCAGCTCGCCTCCGCCCCGGGTCACGTGACATTGCACTCCAGCCCCGCAGCGCCGTGGGCCTCATCGGCACATCCATCAATGTCTCCCTTGTGGGCCCCTCATCACTCATGCTCGGCTATGGTATAAGCACGTATGCTCCTTGGACTTGGATCAATCTATCCATTTTCCCCGCCTGCCTTCGTAGTGTGTCTATGCACATATGTGGATTGGTCTATGTGAGCATCGACGGTCGCAACACCCTGCATAGAAGTCTCCATTGTTTCGTGAACCGTCGTCAATGGGAAATTTTCGCCCAACTGGCGCCAACGGGAGGACCCCACTCCGCTATCGAACCTCCTCCACAGGGTGATGGCAGCACTGGCTCCGGCGACGATCAATCCGGAGGGGAGACCGCACACTCTGGAAACATTGTTCTTCTGAACAAGGACAACATGTCTCTGTTTAGAAGAACAATGCTGCCAAAGTGTGCGGCGATCACCTCCTGCTCAACGTCGTCGGACCGAAGCTGACAGGTTCGTAGGGTCTGGAAGTCTTCTACTCCTTCGATTCGGTCGACTGGCTCTTCACCCGACTCGTGACATCTTTCGTCCAGGTGGCCTTCACTGTCCGCAGCCCCCCCCTTCCGGCCCAGGCCACTCCCGCCACGGTCGACGACTTCGCCTCGGCTGTGTAAACGCGCCTCCTGGACGGCCGTTCGCACCCGTTCCATGACAGACGGGCCAGGCATCCTGCACGTGCAGCAGCAGTGACGCTAGCCACGAGCAGCGAGGCCAGTGACAAGAGGAAGTTCAAAACCAACCGGCAGACGGGCGCAGTACATTTCCAGTGTGCCTCGTCCCCTTTACCGTCGCGCTCACATCTTCGCCCCCCGTCCGCCGCCGGTCTCAGACGTCACCCTCCTCCCCGGCCTGATCCAGGGTCGCCCGTGTCACTCTGATTCACTTTTGCACAGGCAGATCGGGGCCCCAGAGAACAGAGTGCTGGAAGCAGGGGGAGTAAGTGCAAGTCACTTTCTGGACAGAGACTGCAGTAAATTTGTTGCGGACGAGGTACATTGAGGGAATGCAATGACATGAGCGTCACTAGTATTTATGCGATACGAGAAGGGTGTTGCACACACACGAGATGTGCTGCGCATGTCAAAATAACGATGCTGATTGATGGAAGCTGAACCCGTTCTGTGCTTACTACACTCACCCGCTGCGGCCGAACGCTTCGACGGCCGCTCCTGGCGACGACCGATGGTCGGCCGGTGACAGTGGCCAAGGTCATAGGGAAGAAGTATGCTGAAAGGCGGCGTCAGCAACATGCGATCATATCACGTCTCTTTTCGAGGCCAATGCGAACGCTATGCTACATGTAGATGGTACGGTACACGCATGCCGCACCGTCACTCCGGCGTGCACACGATTCGCCGACCTTGCATGACCGCGAACGACGGCCCGGCGCAGATGATGTCCAGAGTGCATGCGCCCGCGGCGGTGGCGCTGCCCACCGCGACACCCGCGTCGAGACCTTGCAGCGTGAACCAGACGCACCCCCGCGGTGCGATACGCCGTGTGCAGCAGCCGGAAGCGAAGCGCGGCCAAGTGGCTCAGCTCGACCGTCCATCCGTCCGCGATGGGCCAAGCCAGCGAGAGCGCGATGGGCCGGTTCTTCAGTTTCCAGCGGCTCGCCCACGGCCGTAGCAGACCCTTGTACGTGGCGAAGCGGCCCGTCGTGAACGGGATGTTGACGCCGTCGAGGATTGCGTTCGGCACGTCCGGGAGCGGCGCCAGGGCCGCGCAGATGGGCCAGCACAGCATCTCGCCGTGCGCAGAGTTGGTCAACACCGCCTTCGGCGCCGCACCGCTATCCATCAAGGTTGCCATGGCCGTCGTACCCGGCAGAGGAAGCCTTCGCGCAAGCCGCTATGCGAGATGCTGACATTGCCCCGTCCCTCGCGTCTGAAGCAGCCGCCTTGTCTTCCAGGTAAGCGGCATGCAGGCCAAAGTAATACTCGCGTCCCGGCCCGCCGGCTGACGGTGAGTCGCGACACGCGAGAATCTCGCGTGCCCTGTCGCTCCGCAGCAGCCGTGGCCTGGTGCCCGGCGGGCTGGGCATGACGAGCAGCGAGCCAGCAAACGCCAGCATCCCGCGCATGATGTCCGACGCCATCGTTCACAGGCCCGTTGCACCGTGCTCGGGTTACACATGCACCGGTATGCTCTCGCTATTGATCGCTACATTGCCATGCATGTGCGCATGCCAAAAGTCCATCGTCTGCTCTGGCAGCGGACCGTAGAACAAGCGGACCATCCCGAGCGGCCCGAGGACGGCCCGTGACATGCGCTCGGAGTAGATCTCGGTCTGAGTCCGCTACGGGTTGTTGTGCTCTAGCAGGTGTTGAAGGATCATCGAGCTGCCGCCCGAGTAGGAAATTCGAGGCTCAGCAGGGAGACAGTGCGCACAGAGATGTTGCTCACATTGCTACCTGTCAGGACTTCTGCAGAAGTCGGTCCTGGTTGCTGAGCGCTGGAGGGATACCTGCAACCCCC